CTCTTATACACATCTTATATATATATATATATATATATATGAATGAATGGAACATGGGAATTCTTATCCCAATCATTAAAAAAAGGTGATTTTAAAGACATTAACAACTACATGGGTATCTTACTAACATTTTGATAGGGTGAATATGGCTATTATTCCGCAATGACATAGTGCATGGCATCAACATGGTCTAGCGACACTGAAGTTTAAATTTAGTGTCAAGCCAAATCTACCAATTCAACACCTCGACCTTTTGTAACTACGTCTGAAAACCAGCAGGGGCGATTCCAGTAATGAGGGGTAGTGGAAAGATAGGGTCAAGCCAGCTCTACCAATGAACACCTCGCATTACGTAAACACAACATATCAACAGGGGCGAATCCATTAAGTTGGGGTGGGGGTGGGAAGATCAACAGTAGCAGATCCCGGGGAAGGGGGTGTTGAACACGTGCCTTCCCGTTTTGCCAATAATTTTTTGAAATTCTGTCGGATCAACAGTGGTGCATCTAGTAAGGGGCGGGGGGGTAACGTGCCTCCTGGTTTTTCCACTAAAGTTAAAGTGAAGTGCCTCACTTATCCATTCTAAAACTGTGTTGTCCCCGCCAACCCACCCCCCAAAGATTGAATACGCCCTTCATCAAACTGGAAAATAATTCCTCACAAGGGCTATCCACTCCAAAATACACACATCTACAAAGACGCTCTTTAGAAAAATAGTAACATGCTAGCGAATATAACATTTATAACGATTGCCTCCTCGACTCATTACATTCAACACCATACATCGCCACCTTTCCCCACTCATTCAACACTAATTATTATTATTAGGTCTATTATTTATTTAATTATTATTATTATTATTATTTTATAATATTGTTATTATTATTATTATTATTATTATTATTATTATTATAATTATTATTATTATTATTGGTTATTATTCAGAACTTGCCAGTGATTTTATTATGCATTTCTCATCTAATTTAGAAACATTCATTTCAGCTCAGGATTTACTGTCATTGTCCTTTCTTGAAATAGTTTATATTATAACGCAAATTCTACACCATGGCGAACAATTCATTAGGATATTAAAATAAATTGTAGAAAATCTTCACTTACACGATGATATTTAATAATAGGAGGAATATTCGGTTCTGGAATTTCCCAAAACAATTTCTTGGACGCCCACCGACAAGCTCTGAAGAGAATGGCAATCGTTGCTGCGACAACAAATCCTGCAGCTGCCAGGATCATGGCTTGTAATGAAACTAAAAATGAAAATGGAGTTAGCAAAAGGCCTATTGTCTGGGGGATGTCGGGTGCTAAAGAGTGAAGGAGATGTAGTTGGAAAGATAAAGGGAAGAGGGCGTGCGCCTCCAGTCTCCTTTCCCATAGATATACCAATGAGTGGTCGACGAGAAGGAGGGAATTATGGATGTATGCACCCTTGGTCCCACCCCCGATTAGACTGTTTGAATTCAAAAAGTGCAACAACTGTATAAATATACAGTAATATAAAAGAACATACTGTAGCCTTCTTATATGGAAAAAAAGAAGGAAGGAAGGAACATAATCAACATAAACAACAGTGAGTTTTTGGGGTCCGCCTTTCGCTGATCCGAAAACAAAGATACTTTCGTTTATTACCTTTACTTGACTGATATTGCTGAGCCTCACGATTTGGCTTATTCTGAACTGGCGGATTCTTAGTTGTTTTAGGTGTTGTTGACGAATTTGCTTCAATGAAAGAAAATAAAAACGTTGTACCGCAATATCATAATATAATTTACAACTCAAAATTCTTAATACAACACACTAAAAAAATGTTAACAAAAATGGGTGCATAGAGATAGTCTGATGTAATGGGTGAGTGGGTTATGGATTGATGAAGGAATCTGTAGATAACTATTTAATACCTCATTGGATGGGTGGATAAACGAGTTGTGGGTCAATAAGTGGAGATGTTATGTGGATGACGGGTAACACTACAGTTGTAATCTGTCTCTTATACAGCGTGTTCTTGTTAGATACAATTTATTTCCTAGGATCACTCAAAATAAATACTTCTAATTTATGTAAATATGCATCAGCACACGTTATACATGCCTACTATATTAACACATAGGCCTAAGTGTGATTAAAAAAAAATCTTAAATCCACAAGTCCCAGGCCATGTCTTTCAGATACAGAAATGTGATATTGTATGGTTCAGTTTAGTTTTTATTTTTTTGCAAGCTCTATATACTACTACTAGTAATAATAATAATAATAATAATAATAATAATAATAATAATAATAATAATAATAATGATGATGATAAAAAAGAAGATGCCGATGGTGACAATAGATAATAATATTAATAATATTAAAAAGTGAAGAAAATTGTGCTAAAGGCGAGAAAGTAGGCCTAAATTGTGATTTGTTGATCACAATTATTACAGTATAGTTAAATCTTACTAAGCTATGGTTAGGCCTAAGTTGTATGGGATATTAAGTAGATCCCTGATAAAAGATTATGGGAAATTTTGTTTTAATTTTGACTATATAATGGTGATGTGATGATGATAAATGTTACATCTAGACATACTATTTCCTCAAATTTACACACCTCAGCCTTAACTATATTAAGGCTGAGGTGGTTGTGAAATCATGGCTTTAAAGTATATAAAGTGCATACTCAAAAACAATGTTTATAAGCTTTATTTTCTATGGTACATCACACATATCTGTGGTGGTACATACTTATTTCTGTAACAACAGAATTAATTGTGTACACATAATAGTTTGACAGTAATAATGTTGTGGTACATAATTATTTTTGTAACAACAGAAATCATTATGTACACATAATATTTTGTCAGTAATGATTCTGTGGTACATAATTATTTCTGTAACGACAGAATGCCTATTCAAAGACATACAGTACATAGCAATGTCCCAAATGGCGCCCCGTACATATGACAAGAATGTGTTATGTTACAGTATTTGTGACAAAAGTGTAGTCTTTTGCAAGATTTTGGGTTTCTTCACCCAATGACCCTTGTGTGACCTTTAACCCCAAGCGATGACCACCCCATGTATGGGAAGTTTTTACTGGTTATACTAACCAAGTTTGACTGAAATTGGCCTAACCGTTTGGTACTGTAGAGTTTTGCTAGAAGAATAATCAGAAGAACGCAAAGAAAACAGACCAGACGTCTGCCTGCAGCTGACTGACTGGGTAAGAAGAATTATGTTCAATTGAACATGAACACATTCAGGTGATTCCTTGTCAATTGAGCTCAGTCATGTTCAAAATTTTACTTTACTAAATAGGAGAATGCTAAGAAAATAAAAGTGGGCGGATAGAGATAGTGTGGTGTAATCGGTAAGTGGGTTATGGATGAATAAATGAATCGATGGATATTATTTAATACCTCCTTGGATGGGTGCATAAGTGGAGATGTGAGGATAAGCGATGAGTGGTCGGATGAGAGTAAACAGTGGTAATGTATTTACATATAATTCGTAATTTTAGGCCTATGTTTCTTACTGAATAAAGACTAATGATATACAGTATTACTATTGTGTGTTTGTTTGTGCTAAATGCTAAAAGCCTCTGTGATTTAATATTTTTTTCCATTTATTTTTTGTGTGATTTGCTTTTACCATAAACCGGAATGTCCCTTCCAGTGTTGAATGTGATACTTTTTTCTTCACTCCATCTGCCTTCAATATGGTAACATTGAGCCGTATAAATGTATTGTGTATCATAACTGAGTCCAGATATTGTCCATGAATTTGGTGGGTACTGAAACGTTTTAGTTTTGCATTTTGCACCGTTTTCAACAGGTGGTGATCTTTGACAAATTCGTTTATCCAATAAGGAGAATGAATCAAAATTCCAATCTTCAGGATCCTCAAACATAAACTGAACCGTTGTATCATCTAGAAGCTGATAGGTGAAACTCTTGAGTGGATTGGGTATGGCTATTAGAAAAACATAAGAATAAAGGTCATTAAGGATTTTAGGGCTCGTATAGGTATTTTTTATATTATACATTCAACATCCATTTCATTTATGCCTATACTTGAACTCTGAACAATTCAATTGCATAACAATGATCCGGGGAAGCACACACAAGGACCAAAATTCCAATCTGGTCGGTAATGAAACGTTTTAGTTTTGCATCTTCTTCATATATATATATTTTCCATTTAGGAGCTACTGGTTATTGTTGTATGGAAGCTAACGATGAAGTGTATGGTAAACCAAGGCTACCTATCAAGAATACTTAACACATTGAATAAGTTGCGTTCACGTGGGAAAACAGCGATTGCAATAAGGACGTATAGTATCACGAGAACATTCGTCTTTGTTATAATTCAAATATTGATACATATAATAATAATAATTATACTGGTAGTTATTAGTAATTGCTATGGAGATATTAGTAGTGGAAAAAATCATGCAGATTTTGTAGAAATTTTCAGATTAAGTAATGTTATTTGAGAGACATATGTTATGGAGTATAAGTATTATTAGTTGAATGATCTGTGTTATATTTTATGTTTGTATTGTTTATTGTTTGTTTTAGAAGATTATTGTTTTAGAAGGAATAAATATTTATTTATTGTTGAACTTAAAAGTTGTTTGTAATTTGTTTGTGAACTTGTGTTGGACAGACATTAGACCTTCGATCCAAATTGTTCATCTGTGACTTTCATATTAATTTGTGCATTTCATAGGTGACAGTATGACACTCGCCTTCATAGCGAGAGGTTGCAGGTTCGATTCACCTCAGATACACTTTCATAAAACTGAATTAAAGGGACTTTTAGCTGAAAGGCTATGTTTGATATATCATCTTCCTATCTGAGCAATGTTTATTATTAATCTATCTGTATGTATATGTATATATATATATATATATATATATATATGTCTATATATAGGCCATATATATATATATATATATCATTATACAAGACTGTTTAGATTTATATTAAGTTGTATATTATTATTATTATTATATTATTATTATTATTATTATTATTATTATTATTGTTGTTGTTGTATTATTATATTGTCTAAGTATTATTTAATTAGCGTTATTAGCGTTATTATTAAGGCTATCATCATCACACTCATTATTGTTAGCTGTGTAGCTAACCAGTGTTGTTGGCATTTGCTTACCTATAGTCTGAGCTTTCAACCAGTATAATATACCGTTCACATGCATATATTTGTTTTCATAATTTATCTTCACGTAAATTTGAGCAACTGGATGAAGATTTTGTGGGCAGCATTCGAAAAATTCGTTCTCTGACTTATTTGCTGTGCACTGTTGGTACTTATCTGAACAGTATCCTCTACAAAATGCAAATACTCACATATAAAATAACGGATCATCCCTTTATTAAAACAAATTTATAAACCCTTAGATATCATAATTAATATCAGCACCATCTTCACGCAAAAACACAACCACCACCACCAACACTGCCCTCATTATCACCATGATCATCATCATCATCAACACCATCATCATTTATATGTATTGTCTACATATTAGTAGACCCTAAAATCGATTAAATAAGCATTTTAAGCCAATAAATTGTCACAATTTTCGGGGCTTTTGCCCCTGGACCACTCTCAAAATAGTTTAAGCAACGCCCGACCAAGCTCCCTTTGTTCTTGTCGGGTACATCCCTTCCCCCACCCCGCCCCCACCTCCTCGTTGGGGACCTCAGATTCCCCGTTTGGTGAATTCTGGCTCAAATGCAGTCATTAGTTATCCTGGCCTTCGCCCCACGTTGTGAGAGCGTATATCTGTTCAAAAATTGTCCTTGGTTGGATTGTGTTTACATACAGTACTACTAGAAATTGCAAATTGCAAGTGAAGTGCTGCGAAGTACAACTGCATATAAATGTTCTTCGAACAAATTATTTATGTAAGTCAAGTGAAAATAATAAATAATAAAAATATAAAAAAATAATATATGAGACAAGACCCATTGTCTATATTAGAACACTTCTCATTGGGTAACAAAACTGTAATTTTTCATTTTTTTGCGAGGTATCGGCTGAGATTTGTGGAGTACAATTCAAAAAACAACTATAGGTCTAATAATGAATTATTGTGATGTTAAATAGACAAAGTTAGCTAACAAAGAGTGACGTTGTTTCTCATTTGGACCTTCGTCCCTTCAAAGCTAGGCCTATACCATCCTAGCTAGTCTAGGCCAAGAGTAGGAGTAGGAATAGGAGTGCGAAATGCGGACGTTGGTACTAGTATGTTAGTCTACAAACGTCGCCTAAAGTAATTGATTACTTTAGGCCGTTGATTTTTGACAAACAATGACCTTTATAGGCGTAGAACCTCCCACCCCAAGTATTTCTTTTTCATACCACTGAATTTTGAGCACACGAAATGGAAATATTTTAAATCTATAAATTAACTGGAGGGAGAAAACTGTTTATGCATATCACTGTAACTTTGCATTTAACATAGTTGCAGCTAATTTAAAACGCTTTTGAAAATTAAAATTGCATTAAAGATGTATTGTCCCTTGCTAATGTCAAAAAATAATTTATAAATAAACTTGCTCATTATTATTGCAATAGCATACAAATTATTAACTTGTTCATAAAAATTATTGAATTACAAAAATGTGTACCCTGATTTTTAAACCAAAAAAATTATAATAAAAATATAAAACACTTCCAGTGAATGGAGGTGTTTCTATCATTTTTCGCTGTAAACTAATGAGTAGACATTTTTCAAATACAGTAATTTCTGTGTTGATAACTTTTATGTTACTTCAAAATGTGCAAGTTAATTTAAAAAAAAAAAAATTTGGATTTTTTTTTTTTGTTATTTAGCATGGGACAATACATCTTTAACATAAAATACATTGTCCATCCATTAATGTTATACAATGACGTCATATTTTAATATGCACATATTCGATAAGGTCTTTTACTTGGACAAGAAGAAACAAGCAGTGAGCATAAGTGCCGGACAGAAAAACCCTGTGTAAAAAAATATGAAACAGAATAGAAGCAGAAATAAAATCAGCAGTAAAAATAGACTTTTAAGCTAGTGCGGGGGAAAAAAGTTAATAAAAGTGCTCGAATATAATTTAGGCCTACACTTGATGTCATGATCATATTAGCATAGCTCTGCAACAAAAAACTTTCTTTTCAGGTGCATAGAAATATCATCAGCGTCGCAGCATCAGCATCGTCATTATCATCAGCAGCAGAAGTAGCATCATCATCATCATCTTTATTTCAACTTACCTGTCTTGTCTATAATACATTGTATAATTTGTTGACACATTTCCTTTCCATCCGACACACAAGTCTGATCCAGTCGTTGATCTGTA